AACCAATGTAACCATATAGAAACTCTGCTACTCCTGTACGTTACTTTCGCGTAAGTCAAAAATACAATTTCGACTTGAACTTACGGAATTTTACAACGTTGTCAAATTGGTTTACAATCGCGTTTGAAGAGGAGCGAACGCGTAAAATTATTGCATTGAATTTCATTATATCGGATTTCACATAACTTTCACATTTATATAAATTATTAACGCACTGAACTTATCACCCGGACAATGTCCTATTCATAATATCTGGTCACTGGAAAACGACACTTGCGTTGTATTGTAGTTGTAGTCGAGCATACTCAGCAAAGGCGCGTAGCTTCAAAAATGGAAGGCGCTGAAGAATTTGGAGAATGGAATGAAATGAAAAAGGATTACACGAATGCCGAATTAAATCAATATGTTTCAGAAACTGGCGGCAACTTAGACGATGGCTTTCAGCCAAACCTTAATAAAAAAGTGGCTCCTTATTTGGTATTTAAAAATGTGCCTAAAGAGATGACGAAGTTGGGTTTGATCAACATTTGTTCGAAATATGGTGTTGTAAAAGGCGTCAGATGTTACAATAAAACCAATTGGTACTTTGTAGACTTTGCCACTGTAGCGTAAGTACTTTTTGCGATTTAAGTAAAGAAAAAGATTTATTAAAAATACCTCAATTTAAAATAACTGGATTCAGAGATGCGGAAGCAGTTTGCCGAAATCTCGAGTGCAGTGATTATGGTTTTCAGGTTGTTGTCGGCAAAAAGAAAGATAAGACAATAGCTCAGATACCTGTAGAAGATAAACCTCCATTATCTACTCGGACCTCTTACATTGATCAATTGAATCGTACTTACCGCATATCTGAGAAGCTGCATCCTCGGTCTCACTTTCAGCCCTCTCAACTTTTGGTAGATAGCAATTTGCAAACTGGATTTATATTCAATGATGATGCACATGCTTTGGAGAGGCAAGGTCTCAAGAATAAGAAGAGCCAAACAAACAAAAATATTGAATATTACACTGGAAGGGCATATATGTGGTGAGAATTTTGAATTCCCTGCTTCTTCAAATAGCTACTTCTTTATTTGACAAATTTTTGTATAGCCGTAGTTAGGTAAAACTACATTAAACGTCAAAAACCAAACAAACCTAATCGCGCTGGGGGACTTTATCAATGAGAAATGCAAGCTTTATTTGATGATTCTCGAATCAATCTTCAATACAAAGTCATTCCAAGACAATAATCGCGATATCGCGTTTGATAAGTTCTTTACGAGTTCTGAACTATCTCAAACTTTGTTGTTGGGATTTTACAAACTGACAAAAACATTGAACAGTATCCGGAAGGGAGGGAAGGGCATACATAACGTAAGAATACTTACATTTTCTGCTTCAACTTAAAATTTTATTGGGTTCAAATCTCAAGCGCGGTAAAGTTTTCTATAGAGCCGATAGCTAGCGCTTTGAATCTTTAGTCTTAGAATTTACTTCTTTGTCTAAATTAATAATAGTGATTAACAGCAAGAAAAGTAAGAAAATTATGTTTGGTCGTGACTGAAAACTTTATACCCACCGTTGTCCTAAAAACGATAAAAAACATAAAAACTAAATTTTCCTGCTGCACGGGCACTGCTAATTTTTTCTATTGTCAAAAATTGAGAAGAAAGCTCAATTTTGATACACTATAATATTGGGGAGGCGTGAATAAACTTTCCCATATTTCTACAGATACTACAGCATCGCTCAAAGAACATTGACTTGGTATAGTTTTTGAGGAATGATTAAAAAGCCAAAATACGTTTCACACATATTTTTTCGTCTTTTTAATATTACACTAAACGTATTCTTGCAGCATGCCGGATCAAATAAGAAATTTTGTAGAAAATAAGAGCAAGAAATCTTTGGGAATTTACTGCGAAACAAGTGAGACATATTCTAATTCAGAATTCGTGGAAAAGACACCACCATCTAGGATTAACAAATGCACTTTGTGTAAACTTGATTGTGATGCGGTTTGTACGCGTTGTCGCGCGTATTATTGTAGCGTACAATGCCAGAAAAAAGATTGGGACAAGCATCGTCGCATTTGCGGAAGACCGAAGTTAGTATCTAATCCTTCTGGATGCGCTTGCACCCAGAAAGAAGTTCAAGAGACTCTGTAAAGTACTTCTTATTTGTTTTATTTGTGCGCTTTCCTGTTAAAAATTTCCTTTACATTCTTATAAATGATTTTTCCTCTTTTTTTTATAATAATGCAGATTATTGCAAGTGAGAAGAACCATAGAAGCTGGTGACAATAATCAAAACTGTACAATGTTGAAGGAAAATATTGAAGAACAGGAAAAATATGACGTCTGTGAGATAACTAAGAATATACCACAGAGTGACAATGTTGTGACTATAACAACCATTGCGAAAACCAATGTAGTTTTCATACGCTCAAAAGTTAGCGATGATATTGAAAATTTTTTCAAAACTGTTAACCATTTACAAAAATTGAGCAAAACTCTAAAGACCGTCACTAAAAGACCGCGGTGTGGTGAAATTCTTATTAATAAATTTTATGATGAGTTCTGTCGCGTCATGGTATTAAATCACATTGGAGCTGAAGACGTTGTTGTCGTGTACGTTGATTACGGGAATGTGGACATATTGAGCTTTAAACATTTATACGAAACTCCTGAAGATTACATTCGGATACCTTTTCATGCCATACCAGTTATTCTAAAAGAAGTTCCCGATTGTTATATGACGGAAGAAATACGCAATTTCATGTATTCTTATTTAAATGACATTAATGTTTGCCTAAAGTATGAACCAGAAGATTTCATTTCCGATAAGGGTGTTTATATGGTTGAAATAATCGACGAACGCAACCAGCAAAATTTCAATAAATCCATCAAGAAATTGGCGATCCCGCGGGAACCGGTTAATTCTAATGAAATTTGCACCAAAGATGTAAGTTTCTTAGTTCATTCCGTACCACTTTTCACAACATTAATGCACACATATGTCTGCGTAATTTTAGTATGTACAACATGTACCGTTACCCAGTGGCGACAATATTGAATTGGTGGTAATGGATAATTCATTAATGCATATCGCCCTCATTTCCTGTACGCTAAAACTTTATGCTTTGGAAATACAAAAATTCAATCGAGATTTGCAAAAATATGCACAAAATTCATCCACTACCTGCTATGCACCGCGAATTAACGAATTATGCATAGCCAAGTATAGCGTCGATGGCAAATGGTATCGGGGTTGTTGTTTAGAACTTGTTGGAGATGGTCATCCCACAATAATGTTTATTGATTACGGTAATATTGCATACGTAGGAATAAATAATATACGTCCGTATCCTGTACAATTCACATTTCCTATCTATACGTCTGATTGTGAAATTGAAGGCAAGTAAAGCTCGCCATAAACTTTAATAAAGTTTCATATAACTTTATTTTATACAACAGGTCTTCCAGAAAAATGCGACGAAAAGCTTGTAAAGAAATTGGAGGAGTTTATACCCAATGGGACTGCCATTAAATGCGGACAGGTGAAGCCATATGAATCAGATAGTTTTCATATACTGTCTTTGCCTCACATCATAAGCAAGTTAAATTCATTAGGATTATTACAAAACGCGAATGAGAGCTAATTTTTTATAAAATATAGAAGAACACATTGTTTTAACTTTGATTCCTTATATCTTCTTTGGCTTTTTTTTTTTTGTTCTGAGTGAAACGATTGTCTTGAGAAAACGAGGTTTATAATATTACGAATTTGTCCGTCACCCGAAATCGGAGACATGCACGCTAATCTTCCACAATATTTTGGAGGGGAAGCAAACCCATTTTTTGTTATTGTGAGATATTTAGAGATTGGGGCATATCGCTAAGTTTAAAAACTAAGCACTAGTAAAGATAATTTTTTTTATTTGTTATATTACATAATGTAAGTTTATATCCAACAGTGTTTGTAGTGTTGCCTAAAAAGAATAACG